GGAGTGTGTGGAGCTTAGCACGGTCCCCAGTCTGAGCCCGATCAACCATGCCCCATGTGTGCAGAGCGTCACGCTCGGCAATGGGGAAGCCAATGATAGGCCATTCCGATTACCCACATTTACAAAAAGAAAGGTTAAGGAGCTTGTTGGACCCTGCTCAGGCCAAGCCAACTGTCTTCCTGTCTCCCAGCATGCCACCGTGGTTCCTTTGTGCTTAGCACGGTCCCCAGTCTGAGCCCGATCAACCATGCCCCATGTGTGCAGAGCGTCACGCTCGGCAATGGGGAAGCCAATGATAGGCCATTCCGATTACCCACATTTACAAAAAGAAAGGTTAAGGAGCTTGTTGGACCCTGCTCAGGCCAAGCCAACTGTCTTCCTGTCTCCCAGCATGCCACCGTGGTTCCTTTGTGTCACGTCACCTAAAGGCACACTTCCTGAAACCCCTAACCTCATCATCCCTGAGCGTACCCTGAGGATGGCTTTGTGTGGAAAGAATGGTGAATCAAGACTTATTTCCAACAGCGACACAAAGATTTTGTAAATAAAGAGGGGAAGAGGGGTTGAAGGGAGGGGAGGGGAATGGGAAAAAAAGAAGCAGCAATATATATGATGACAGATGCAAATTCCCTACAGTGAATGTCATCATGATGTATATCTAAAATGCACAAATAAAATTTAAAAACAGGGATAATGCAAAAGTGTAAGGCATTTCTCAGCTGTGTACTCCCTGGCTGTGTACTCTCTGGCTTCCTTCACACCTACACTGCTCTCTGAACCTGATCCTGTGTCAAACGGTTAACAGTCACCAAAGGCTCTTCCCACAAAGGTGGCCTGTGAGCGAGAGAGCACGCTGTAAAATACAAAGCAAATGGAGAATCCACGGATCCGGCCCCAGTGTCCAGCTGCCCGCCCCACCGCCTGCTGTCCCTCCCGTCCCCACCCAGCCCTTCCTCCCTGCACCGACTCGGTCTGGGAGTGGAGTGGGGATGGCTTCGGTCACAATGGGAGGGACCGCGGCTGTTCTGACAACTGTGAAATGGAATTTTGTCTTTGCGTTAATGCACTAGGAGTATCAGCGTCGTGCACAATCATCCGGGAAGCCATTGTGAGCAGGGAGACGTTGGGATGTGCTCCTGCTTGGGACCCCAGGGTGCACTCGGTCCCCAAAATATTCAGGGTGCACCACATGTGGACCATCCTTCATTTTCTTTCCTGTCGTGGTGAAATCGATGTAACCTAAACGGAGCATTGCAAAGTGTCCAATTCAGTGGTATTTTGTACTCTTGCAGTGTTGCCCAACCGTCCTCTGTATCTAGTTCCCAAGTGTTTCTGCCCCCAAAGGGAACACAGCCCCCCCACCGAAGCAACTGCTCCCACTCCCTGCCCCATCCTTTGCCCACCACCTGTCTGCCTCTGGTGCCTGTGGTGTCACCTGTCCTGGTGGTCCACACGAGACCTCACCCAAGGTAGGCAGGGGCGGCACAGAGCATCCTGTGGACAGGCTGGAAGCAGCGTGGATTCCCCCAGGTCTTTCCCACCCCGCTGTGTCTCTTCCTTTTCACTGCAGATCATGGCTCACCCACTCTCCACAGCAACCTTGATTCACGCTGTGCTCACCCAACCCCTCCAGCTCTGGCCCCACTGTCACCGGGTGGACTGCCCCTCCCTGGGCCCCATGTGTGCTCCCCAGAAGGCACGTCACAGGGGGCTTCTGGTGACACCAGCTCCTTACTCTGCAGCCTGCTCCTGGCTCTCTGAGGGCAGGCGCTGCAGGCATGGTGGGAGCAGTACTGGCTAGGCTGTCCAAAATCTCGGGGTTCGTGGCTTTTCCTTTGCAGGGGTGGTGGCTGTACACTGACGTACAATGATGTTCTCTTCATCTTATCTCTGGCAGCCCCAGAAGTCTTCCAGGTGTACGTGGATGGAGGCCCTGGGTACTCGTACCCCGTCGACTGGTGGTCGCTGGGCATCACGGCCTATGAGCTGCTGCGGGGCTGGGTGAGACTCGGGGGACATCTGGGACGGGCACAGGGCGTGCAGTGTGGTGGGCTAGGTGGCGGGTGGGGAAGGAGCAGGACCAGCTTCTGCCTTCAGTGCCTGGCCTCTGTGCCACCTGGGCAGGCCCCAGGTGTCCGGAACCCCACCGGCAGGCACTGGTCCGGCCCCTCATCGCACTGCTGAGGAAGGGGCACCCAGAGGGGAGGGCCTCACACAAGGTCCGCAGGCGATCAGTGCCAGGTCGAACCCCAAGGCACATTGGCCCCAAGCTCTCAGACCCTCTTTCCTTTAAATCCACAGCACAATGCTTCCAGCCTGGGTTCCCAGCCCGGCCGGAAGCTCTGTAACTGCATCGATTGAAAGAGGGTGCTTCTTTTTCCTTTCTCTTTTTTCTGTCTTCTGTTGTTGTTATTGTCACTGCTTGGGCCACATCTTCCCCAGAATGTGTTTGTTACCCAGTGCCCTATATAAATGAGCTGGGCTGTTCACTACCTGGCTTTATTTTAGTTCATTTACAGGCAATAGCTAGAGATGGCTGAAGAAGTGGCTTGGCGACTAATCACTCGTATTTCTATTTGAGCAGAAAGTTTATGACTAAAACTAATATTGAGGCATGTTTTTGTTGCACAAGTAGCTTTTGAAAATGCTGTCACCACACCTCCTGGGATCCCTTCCTGTTGGTACAGCAGTGATGATAAGGCCCTTCCTGTCCAGGGATGGGGGAGGCACTGTCTGTGTTCTACTCCTCTCTATGGCTCCAGAGCCCACAGGCTGCAATTTCAGCACTGCTTTGAGGTCATTTGCATACGTGCATATTCATGTCAGCAGAACGCACCCTTCCCAAGGGTGAGGCAGCTGTGTCGCTGTGGGGTGACATGGTGAGATTGGGGGCTGAATGAATGATGACCGTAATTTATCAACCATAAGCTGTCTGAATGCAAATATTATTTATCACCCTCTAGTTCAGGCAAATACTTCCCACTCTTGGTCTCAATTCTTCATCCATTTAATCTCTGAATTCCTCAAAATGTAATTATTGTACTTGGCAGTGTCTAGAAAGCAAAGACAAGATGAACTTGTTCATTTTCTCAGGCACTGAATGAAAGAATTAATGTCCCATGGGTTTGCTTGCTTCTGATTGGCTCCTCTGGTTCTGTTGATGCCTAGCAGGGCAGAGGACACAAGGGCCAGAGGTGTCTTAGGGGTGTTAGTCATACATCCATCACACCGTGACCTCAGCCAGCGCTGCCCTAGGCCTGACGGGACACCACCGGGCTGAAATGCCTGTGGCCGTCGCTCCTCAGGAGTCAGGACAGTCAGAGATGAGAGCTTTCAAAAACCCCCGAGGGTGGAATAGATCTTGATGCTTCAAAAATGAACTCCTTCATTTTTAATCCTTCTGCATTTTCTGCTCAAAGATTCAGATGCCACTTTCAGCAAAAAGTAGAAAACAAATGATCAGCTGGGAGCCAAATTAGATGGTGCAGGGACAAAGTGAGGAATGGAGGCCACCTGTTAGGAACCAGCATAAACTTTCCTCCCAAGTGCTGCTGCCTGGCTTAATCTTCTAGCCGAAGGGCAACAGGACTGTACAAGTAGCTTCATCTTGATATTTCATGCTGGGAAAGATTTAACCCAAGAGCTACAGGGAGAAATGCCCCTCCTCAGCCATGGATTATGTGCATGTAGAAGTTACACCTCCTTCCTCTACCTGCCGGGTCATGTCAGCCACCATGCCCCCACAGGTCCCTTCTGGAAGACAAAAGCAAGGTCAGTGGATTACCCTTGGGATTCAGATAGCTCCTTCCCTCCAGAAAGTCTGTTTCATTTTGGACAGCTCTAGAAGCCTACCCGCTCAACTGAAAGCTGCCTCCTTGTAACAGAGAAAGAACCTTACAGGAATCTCACACGCTTAGACCGTGGCTCTACCAGGTACCTCATTGCAGCCAGCAGTCTATAAACAGCAGCTTCCTCCCCCTTGCCCATGGGACTCCCACCCTAGAGGGGCCCACTGACAGGCCTGTGTCCTGTCTAAATTAGCACTCTCCAAATGATAGAGTTAGGCCCTAGAGCAAAGACTATTGGATGTGTTGGTCCTCTTTTAGTCACTGGCACAAAAAGAAGTCACTACCACAAAGGAATGCTCTCAGTGTGGGCTTGAAGTGGTCCCAGAAAACCTACTCTATAGCACTTTAAAGTTTGACCAGGTGGTTATCACCCATGGACCTTGTGTGAGACCCTTCCCTGCTGGGCACCCATTTCCCAGCAGTAAAATGAGGGGCCGGAACAAATGCAGAACTTAAAGGAGGGAGTGTGTCATTGGCTGGCTCACAGTTTCAGAGGATTTAGTCCATGGTTGGATGGCTCCAAGACAAGAATATCACATCATGGCAAATGGGAATGGCGGAGCAAAGCTGTGCAGTTCATGGTGAGCAGGAAGCTGAGCAGGCTAACAGTGCCGGAGAGGAGAAGGCCAGGGAGCATATGTAGTATACAAACCACACCTCCATGACCCACACAGACACACCCATAGCTGTGCTTTACTAATCCTCTGGACAGTTCATTAACTAACCAAGTGTGTAATCACACTGGATCACACCAGTAGTTTCAGAGGATTTAGTCCATGGTTGGATGGCTCCAAGACAAGAATATCACATCATGGCAAATGGGAATGGCAGAGCAAAGCTGTGCAGTTCATGGTGGGCAGGAAGCTGAGCAGGCGAACAGTGCCGGAGAGGAGAAGGCCAGGGAGCATATGTAGTATACAAACCACACCTCCATGACCCACACAGACACACCCATAGCTGTGCTTTGATTTAGTCCATGGTTGGATGGCTCCAAGACAAGAATATCACATCATGGCAAATGGGAATGGCAGAGCAAAGCTGTGCAGTTCATGGTGGGCAGGAAGCTGAGCAGGCGAACAGTGCCGGAGAGGAGAAGGCCAGGGAGCATATGTAGTATACAAACCACACCTCCATGACCCACACAGACACACCCATAGCTGTGCTTTACTAATCCTCTTGACAGTTCATTAACTAACCAAGTGTGTAATCACACTGGATCACACCAGGGGGTCAGGATTAACTGAGGCCCTGAATGTGATGCTCCTGATATGGCTGGAAGGGGTCCCAGAAGGCTCACTCTGTGGCACATGCTTACCCACCACCACCACCTCCTTCTCTTGTGTCACTCTGACCAAGTCAGCTGTATAAGTGGAGAATCCAGGGTGAAGAGAGGCCAGGGCATAGAAGAAGGGTGTCTAGAGCTCCCCCTGCCTGTTGGAGTGCAGAATTAACACCTGGTTGCTAGGCTGAAGCTAACAAAAGGAGGAGGAGGCCTGTCTTGGTTACTTCTCTCTTGTTGCTGAGACAAAATGCCACCACCTCACTATTAGACTGCTTTGAAATGTCTTCTCCCAGATTAATTAGTCCACTGCCCTTAGTCTCAGTCCCAGGAAAAGTCTGTGGACACAGCAAAATGCAGACAAACTTTCTGCCAAGCCATAATACACATCATCTGGAGTCTAGCAGCCAATGCAGAAACCTCCTGAGCCTGGTGTTTACCGGCTTTCTGGTCTCTGGGCTCTGACCAGAATCTCCCATATGGTATGGCCCGAGGCAGTCCAGCTCCACTTTTTCAGCCAGAAACTCCAACCTTTCCTAACTCTTCCTCTTCCCACAAGCCAGTTCCAAAGGCTCTTGAGCCACATGGCCAGGTAATGTCATAGCAACGACGCCACTCCTGGTACCAAATTCTGTCTTAGTTATTTTCTCTTATTGCTGAGACAAAATACTCAATACCCAAAGTTAAAGAAGAAAAGACTTATTTGGCTCATAGTTTGCAAAGGTTTCAGTCCATAATCAGCTGGCTCCAAGGTAGAGTGGCACGTGGCAGAGGAGCGTTACAGAGGAGAAAGCATTCATGGCATGCAGAAGACAGTAAAAGCAACAAGGGAGCCTTAACAGCATCTTTCTGCCCCTTTTATCTTATTCAGACCACTAGGATTAGGGAGATGCCAAACCATCCAGTGTGAGAATTTCTCCAATTATATAATGTCTCCAATTGTATGCCTAAAAGTTTGGGTTTGGATCCAGGCTTATTTTTCCATGCATTTGCTACACTGGCCTTGTGGTATGTTATAATCCTCATGACTATCGTTGTCATTGTTGGTCTCTTTCCTTGCAGAAGTGGTGAGAATTATAGTTTAGGGAGAGGGTGGCTCACTTGGAGGCCTGATGGAAACACAGAGTTAATGAGGGTCTCGAAGTGGCCAGGCAAGAAACAGAGATGAGTGTCCATGGTGGGGGAGGTCTCTGCCTTTGTTCCAGCTGGCTCTGCCCCAGAGTATTAAGATTCAAAATTCTCTGGAAGCATTGCAGACAAAGCTTGGTCAAATACTCGGTATCTCTCTGGGACACTGAGAAAGACATTTCATCTCTGAGTCTGGTTTCCTGACTTTTTAATGAGAATGAGATGAGACGCTCCCAGAATCCCCAGGTGGCTGGCTCAGGGTGGGAAGAATAGTGTACTGAAAGGAGAAAGATGGGTAGACTGGGTCCCAAAGGTCCAGAAACCCCTCTATCAGCCCCCGACTGTGTCCATGATGGTCCCAAGCTCTGGCCACCCAGACAAGACACCCCATAGAGATTATGGGTCCTCCCAAGGATCCTGGCTCCCCACAGCTCTCTTCCCAGCACCCTATCCACACCCCAACAGCTCTGCTCCCTGTCTCCCCATCACACCAGGCAAGAGCAGCAGGGACCGTCTGCCCTATGCCCCTGGGACCTGACCGCAGAGGTTAGCAGTACATCTCAGAACAGAGGGCCAGACCCTTGGGTCAGAACTCTGCATGTGAACGTGGTGGGGGTGGTTGTATTCATCTCCTGTGCCTCCATAACAGCCCCGCAGCCTGGTGATCAAGCAGCAGCAATCTATCATCACCCAGCTCTGGAGGCTGGAGGCCAAGGCCAAGGCTTGAGCAGGGTTGGTATCTCCTGGGGTCGTGAGTGGAGAGCTGTTCTAGGCACCTCTCCCTGGCTTATATGTGGTTGTCTTCTTCCTGTGTCCCTTCATGTCATCTGTACATGTCATCCCTGCCCACTCACAGGCAGTCCAGCCAGAACAGGGAAAGGTAGCAGCCAAGGCCCGCCAGAAGGTGAGAGCTATCCTGGAGGTGTTCCTGGGTGCCTGTGACCAGAACTGGGTGTGAATTCTGTCTGCCTCTGTCAGTGATGGAAAAGGTGACCTCAAAGAGTCGCCTGACTTCCTGTGGCGCCAGAAACACCACCCTCCTGCTGGGCTCCTGCACTGCCCATGCCGGCTCCTCTGGGGACACAGGTCCAGGCCACCAGATTGCCATGAAAGGGGGCCACCTGCTGTGACCTGAAGGGAGGCTAAGCCATCCCTCGGTGTCACACTGCTGCTCTAACTCTGGGTTGTCCCTTGGCTGCAGAGGCCCTATGAAATCCACTCGTCTACGCCCACCGATGAGACCCTCAACATGTTCAAGGTGGAGCGGGTCCACTACTCCTCCACGTGGTGCGCTGGCATGGTGGCCCTGCTGAAGAAGGTAAGAGGACAGCCTGCCCGCAGGGTCGTCCAGGGTAGACCCAGGCATGCAGGGAACGTGGTGATGGGACACGGGGCACGGGGACGTGGAGACCTCGGGGCTGGGTTCTGAGGCTGAGAAGCCATGCCACTGGACCCAAGACTGATGGCAGGGAGTGTGCGCTGTGCAACAGCAAATCCCAGGCTCTCTTCCCTCTACTCCCAGCTCCTAAGAAGTAGAAATACTCCGTGTCCATGGCTGGAGCTGAACCCTTGAGCTTTAAGAAACTGGGCACCTCCTGGCTTCTGGCAGGAGTCTTTGTGGGTAGAATAAAGTGCAGGTTGAAAATGTGGTACCTGGTCCAGCAGTGTCCCCTGTTGCATGTTTCCCAGCTTCCCCCCAGACCCCCAAGTCAGACCCTGGGCTGGGCCCCTCTCTCTATGTGATGTGTTTCCCATGGCTCTGGTGCCAGCCCCAGATTGGCAGAGTTAAGAGGTCCAGTACCCCTCTAGGTTCCGTTTGAATGTGCAGACCAGCATCTTGGGTGTGGTTCGCACAGCCATTGATGCAAGAATGATAAGTGTGGGTGGAGGGCCATGTGTCCTGGGCCTGTGGGGCTCCTCCCCACTCGACCCCACCAGCCCTGTGACCAAGGTGGTGTCATTATCCCCATAGGAGAGACAAAGAATCCAAGCTTAGGAAAGGGAGCCCCTTCCACCACAGCCACAGAGCTGCTCAGCTGCAGCAGCAGGGCTAGAGCCCAAGTCCTGCTACCCTGGGGCCAGCTCTCAGTCTGATACAAGCCCAGGTACCCCCAGGGAGACCCACCGCATGGCTCTAATGAGGCAGTGGGCCTCGCTCTGAGGTGGCTGAAGCACCTGGAAGCCCACTGCCCCTCCCAGCGTCCCCACCGAGTCCCAGGGAGCGTTCAGAACAGCCGTCCATGGTGGCTCCCAGATGGCTGTGCAGTGGGAGTGTGCACCAGCACCTTTGGGGCAGCCCCCAAACAGAGGCCACTGTGGGCAGTGGGTGCCAGCCCTTCTGGGGTCCCTCAGGTGATGTGGCTCCAGCCTGCTCAGTGGGTGTACCTGGGACACTCCCACAATGAGAGGTGACAGGTGGAGTGAAACCGCTGGGTAGGGGATCCAGTTTCCAGGTCCCCACTGGTGACACACTGCTCCTCAGCAAGCGCCAAGCCCTTATGAGTCCCTGGTGGGTCTCACCCTGACCACACGCTGGGGCAAAGGAGCTGCCCTTGTGCTTCCCACTTTCACGTGGAGATGGGTGCTTGTAGGTGACGGTCCCAGGGGTACAGCCCTGCTCCTGCATTCTTAGCTCCCAGCTGGGCCCTTTGCACCTGGCAAGCTGGAATGTTTGGAAAGGATAAGAGCCCCTCAGACATAAGCCAGGTCTGTGGCTGCCTTCATACTGCATCTCCCTTTTGAGCAGAAACTCAATTTGAAGCTCAAAGTGATCCCCTTGGGTGCAAATGAGGCCACTCCAGAAGGTCACAGAAGTCACCTCATAGCTGTCAGGGAAAATGTGCTATGAGGCTGTGGTACCTCGCATGAACAAGTTGGCAATGTTAAGACAAGGCAGCTGGTTCTTTTTCTCCTGTTGAAGCCTCTGCAGATACTGGAGAGAGAACATGGAGGCTGAAAGTCTAGAAAATCTAGACCCTGCCCCGAGTCCCCTATCTGGTGACCTTGCAGATGCAGCTTGTCCCCTGGCTATGAGTAACAGGCAGATGGTGCTGCTTATGGTATGCCAGGATGCTCCAGCTATCCCCAGTGGGACCACTGTGCACAGTTCCGGTGATGTGTTTGTCTTCTGACCTCAGCTCCTGACCAAGGACCCCGAGAGCCGCCTGTCCAGCCTCAGTGACATTCAGAGTGTGCCCTACTTGGCCGACATGAACTGGGATGCTGTGTTCGAGAAGGCGCTGATGCCTGGCTTTGTGCCCAATGTGAGTGGGGTCCTGTAGGTGGCATGCCGCCCCTCAGCATCTGGGTGGGAAGCCTGGGCCCTGTAGCTGGCCAGGGAGCCGTCTGCTAGCTATGGCCACCAGAGCACTGAGGTTTCCCGTTTCCCTGAGAGCCAAGGTGACTTGGGCTGGAACTTCTGACCCTCCTGCCTCAGCTTACCAGAATGATGGGCTAGCAGGCATGTGCCACCATGCCCAGCTGCTGTCTTCACTCTCAGACCCTCTGGAAGGGCACCCTCCGTCCCTGGGCTGCCTGCTTCAGGTTCCCCGCTCTAGACACTCCGGAGAAATGCCTGGCACCTCTGAGGCCTGGCCACCTGCAGGCCCAGGGTTCCAGCTCTCCATGCAGCCATGCGTGTGTCCTCATTCCTGCTTTCTTGCCGGGTCCAGGGTGCGCTGGGCTGTGTACGGGGTGCCCTGGGGCCCTGGGGCCAGCATGTGGCCCTGTCAGCTAGTGGATGAGCCTTCTGTGGGTGAGCACCAGCCTCTGCGACACTCACCAGCCTCTGTTCCCCAGTCCCTCCAAGTGCACACTCACTCACCCCCTCAGATGCACACACACGAGCTGCCTTCAGCCACCCCTGCTGCTGCTTGGTTGCTTGGCTCTCCCTGGTTGTGTTCCGGAGAGGGGCTTAGCCAAGGCCTTCTGCATGAAAGTTGCCCCAGGTGTGACCAGTCCCCCACCTCCTTCCCTGCAGTGCATCTGAGCCTCTCCCTCCTGCCAGACAAGGTGGCTGGGCTGAATGAGGGGTGACGCTGCTCTGGCTGCCTCTGTCTAGAGAGGCGCCAGCACAATGGTGGCTCTAGAAAGCACAGGAGGGCTCAGTGTGTGCTTGTCACAGATGCATGGAGTGGATGGTAACAGCCAGCAGGACCGTGCCTGTGCTCGTGCCAGGCATTGATCTAGGAGCGTCACACCCGGTATCTCTTAGAAGCTTCACAGGAGTCCTGAGAGGTGATCCTGCTAGTATTCTGCTGAAGTTAAGGGGCTTGCCCAAGATTGCCTGGTGAGAAACCGAAAGAGCTTCATTCAGGCAGACTGGATGCAGGGCCTCCATTGACAGGGAAGGATGGACGGACAGACAGATGGACGGATGATGGACGGATGGACGGATGATAGACGGATGGACAGATGAATAGACGTATGGACAGGAGATGAAAGAGACAGGAGAGACTTGGGTCTGAAGTTCGAGCTGCTCATTGGAAAGGGAAGCAGCAGAGGATGGCACTGTGTAATGAGGGGAGGAGAGTCTTACCCATGTTCCAGAAGTTGGCGGGGATGGGAGAAGCCTGTTCCCTCCAGGGGATAGGAGAGTCCTGGGCTCCAGGGAACCCAGTGAGGATTCCCATCAGGCAGATGGGGCCCTGTCTCTCGGACCGAGGAAGCCAGGGGATGATACGGAACATCACTCCATGGCCCCGAAGGAAACAGTAACCACAGCTTTAGCAGGTGTTGGGACAGGAAGCCAGGGCGGAGCTTCTCCTATGTTGCCTTACGTTAGCCTCACAGATTTGTGTTGCTGCTGTCATTTTATGGCCGTGGCACCTGAAGCCCAGAGAGGTTTTGACATCTACCTGCAAAGACAGTCCTCCTCTCGCCCTCAAGCTGTGACTCCGGCACTGGCCGGTACCCAGCCACTAATTAGCCAAGCCCAGGCCAGCTAAGCTGCAGCAGCGCATATAGAGCTGGGCTTGAGGCCAAGAATCCTGCAGGAGGTTCGAGGGCTGGAAGCAGCAAGGGGAGCATCAGTTACCTCAGGTCAGGCCGGAGCTGGCACCCGTCTCCTTCCCAGAGTTACCAAGAGAGTGAGGGTGCAGTGCACAGCGAGGCTGCCCAACCCCAGGTATGCATCCCACCTCACCCACGGGGCACAGCAGGCCCGGCCCCTCCAGGTTGAAGGGCAGCTAGTTCAGAAGGACCTGCCTCCTGCCTGGCCACCCAAAGCACTTGGCAGCAATGCCGTGAGCCACCTTGTAGGACAGGCGCTGCTCTCCGTCTGCAGGTGATGAATGGAATCTGAGGCAGCCATGGACCTGTCAAGGTCCTGGTCACAGCACCAGGCCTCCCTGCGTGACTCCAGGGCTGCTGTAACTGCTGGACTACATTGCGAGGGGATGGGCATCCTCGCACAGCCACCAAGGCAGGCCTTGGGACCACTAATAGCCCACAGGAGCCTGGGGTCCAGAAGTCAGGTAGGGGGAGCCCAGACCTGCAGCCTAGTCAGGCCTCAGGGGTCCCTAGCTCCAGCTGTGGGGAAACGGTAAACCAGGACAGAGAGCTGGAAAGATGTTGACTGGAAATGGTGTTTTAATTAAATTATTTAAAGAGATTAATGAGCTGAGAATGCCTATATGATCAAATATCCAGTGAAAAAAATCAAATTGGAAAACAGAACTCAGTCTCACGTGCAAATCGTGCATAGCAGTGAGACTAAGGAATGGCGATGGGATGATGGCTCTAAATCAAGGGTGGATGCTGGGATGTGTTGATTTCATCACCAGAAAGAAAATGCAGCAATGCGTCCACAGAGGGAGTTCATCATTATCTGAGGGATGGCTGAGCGGGTGATTTAGTGAATGGAGAAGAACTCAGTGGCTGGTGAGATATGAACCAACCATGTCTTCTTTTCTTCCTCCCTTCAGAAAGGCAGACTGAACTGTGACCCCACGTTTGAACTCGAGGAAATGATTCTAGAATCCAAGCCACTTCACAAAAAGAAGAAGAGGTTGGCAAAGCACAGGTCCAAAGATGGCACAAAGGACACCTGTCCCCTGGTGAGCTCCTCTCAGGGTCAGTGGGCGGGAGACACAACACTGGCAGGCCACCTTTCCAGACACAGGGCTTTTCACTTCACCCTTCCTGCCAAAGTCATCCCTCTGTCTTAGCTCGGGGGCGGGGGGTCTGCTCCAGCAACCTTAAGAGAACCAGTGCTGGGCAACAACAGTAATCCTGGGGCACCCATTAGGAAAACTGTATACGGCAGGGGCCCCAGGACCGCGTTGTGACTTTCTTGAGCCCTGGCACTTTTAAGGGTCTCTGAGTTAGTGACCCAGGCTAATACCCAAGCACCACAGATTGGTGGCTTCAAACAACCAGCTTGTATCCCCTCCCCATTCTGAAGGCCGGAAGTCCTCAGTGGAGATGCCAACCTGCATTCTCCAAAGGTGGTAGAGCTGGGCCCTCCTTGTCCCTTCCAGCTTATGCTTTCGCTGCAGAACCATGATGCCCCTTGGGGAGGCAGCCGCATAGCCACCATCTTTGCCTCCACTCCACCTGGCCTGTCTCTGGAGCTTCATGCGGTCTTCATATCAGGATGGTAGTCATTGGCTCTGGGGCCCCTCCTCACCCGCTATGGCCACGATCACACCCGTGAAGATCTTATGTCAGATAAGGCCACACTCACAGATACCAGGGCTTAGCAGTTGAACACATCTGGGGAGACACAGTTTAGTCCACAATAGTGCCCTCCTCTGTAAAAAATAAATGTTTCGTTTTGTGACTGCATTGGTATAAAGATGAATACAATCTTCAATGCTGCAAATTCCTTTTTGCCTTCCTACTTTAATAGAAATTAAAACATCTTCCCAGCCCCTAAAAGTCTCATGGATCCAAAGCCCTGGCCAGCAATGCCCACTGCAGAACTGGCCTGTGGGTTCAGAGAGGAGACTGCTTCCTGCCCTGAGTACCATCTACCCCCTGCCTTTGGGGGTCTTTGGGGGCACCTGTCACAGGGGATCAGTGGCCCTAAGAAGAATGGATCCTTGCATGACGGGTGTCTGAAGCAGGCCCAGCGGACAGCCAAGTGCCAGGAGGCCAGGCCAGGACTGCTGGCCATTTTCCACGCTAACATGGCTTTTGCACTGGCTTAAAACTGAGACAAACACTTGTCAGTCAGCCTTCCCTGGGATGTGGCCACCCTGCAGTCAGCACCTGCTCTGGCCCCTGAGCTCATTCCTAGCCCCTAGTGGTGACTCCTGTTTAGATCAATCCTTGCCCTTTGGCCAGAAGTCCCTGGACAGCACTCTATCACTTAGTCCTCTCTGTGCTTTTTGGCAGAATGGGCACCTGCAGCAGTGTCTGGAGACGGTGAGGAAGGAATTCATCATCTTCAACAGAGAGAAGTAAGTCCCCCATGCCACATCCCCAGGAGGATCACAGTTCAGGCCCCTGGTGGACTCTCCCCAAGGTTGAGAGGGAAGAGGAGGCAGAGTGAGACACAGGGTTCTGATGTGAATGCAGCTACTGGATTTAGAATGAGACTGAGCTGGGGTCCAATCCTGCCTCTGCTGTGTGGCCTGACCCGCAGAGAGGCCCCACCTCTAGGGGTCTCGGTTGTCCCAGGACAGTAGAGATGGCCGAACACAGGAACCTGTGTCAGGAGCCCTCATGGAGAACCACTTGGGGCCACCTGGCTCTGCCCTGCCAGAGGGACCTGAAGCAGGGTCCTTAGCCTTGCTGAGCCTCTTGGCCAGTGTCCACAGGGAAATGGCTCTCTTACAATGCTGGGGCTATAAAAAGTCATCCAGGTGGTTGCTGCCATGCCTGGAGGGCCAGGAGCACCCTAGGGTGCACACTAGGTCCTCATTGTGTAGGGGCTAGTGTTCCTATATCTCTGCACCCTGGGCTCATAGGAAACAGGGCACAGAGTCTGGAGTGGCTCTTCAGGAGTCCCCCATGGCCACCAGCTGACCCTCACAGGTGCTGGTCAGCAGAGGAAGTAGATGACTCAGTCCTGCTCCCAGCAGATGTTGGTATCTGGGGGTCCAAATACCTGTGGCTAATTTGCCACAGCAAGGTATGGACAGGGTGACCCCATCTGACCTGCCCCAGAGTCAGGCTGTGGACCTCAGAGATGATCCTGCAGGGTCCCATGGAGGGCAGCGGGGTCAGTGCCATCACCTGTGTTTACCTGCTTTTGGCCCATAGCAGATGACAGGGAAAGGCAGTCCCGGCAGTGGGTCTCACAGCTGGCTCCTTGGGGGAAGGTGTGGAGGCCTCACGCCCAACTGGTCCTAGGCAAGGCATATGAGGGGTGAGGCCAACACACGGAGAAAGGAGACTGCATGGCAGGCTCAGGGACTCTGCAGGACGGAAGCTTGCATTCTCCCTCCCTGAGCTTGCTGGGGTCAGGCAATGGTAGGACAGGAAGAGGGCAGGAGAGAGCTCCTCTACCAGAATTGACCTGGGGAGGTGACAGAGTTAGCAGTCTGTCATTTGTACCATGCAACTGCAGTTCTCTAGGCTGGTGGGTGCAAGGTCAGCCCAGACACACGTCCCAAGCCCCACCTGCCAGAGGACCACAGCTCCTTGACTCCCTGCTGAGGCTACAGAAGTGAAGGACTCCTGTGGCCACAGCCCATGGGACATGGGAAGTGGGGCTGTTGTGAATAATTCCAACTCCTTGCCATCCCCCACTGCCCAGCCAGCTTTGAGAAACCCAGGCCTGGGAAGCTCTTTTGGGTCAGCAGCTGTGGGTTTGAGTAGCCTGGCTTCTGGCCAGCAGAACTGAGCACCACAGAGATACCAGGCTGGCAAATGGGGTCTGTGAAAGGCTGTGGGGGGAACCCAAGCACATGGTGGCAGCAGCTCACATTCAGCTGTGTGCCAGAAGAGGCTTCAATGTGGATTCCTCAAAATCCAAACTGATTCCTTTTCAAAGGAAATGAGAATGAACTATCCCTCCTGTGTCGTTTAGGGGCTGTGTCTGGCTGTGTTGAGCAGAAACCCAGCTTTATAGTAGCTTCAGCCAATTCTGTGTTCCCTTCCTCAGGTGGAATGTTTGGTGACCAGGAAAATGCAGAGCCCTTGGCTGTACCAAGGGTCCCTTGTGAGATGCATGGTAACTGGTGATGAGCCTGGCAGAATCAAAGGAGAGAGAGGAAGTCATTTTTCAGACAGGGCAGTGGATAGAAGGGTATTGGTGACTGCAGGAGGCATGAAAGGACATAACTTTGGGGGGCGCTGTCACATGGGGGTCTGACCTGACCTGGGGGTCCTGCTCCTCCACTGCAGCTTCTCTGTTCTCTTGACTGCTCCTGGTGGCCCTGGCCTGTACGCACTAGAAACCAGTAACATCTCTTCGATAAGAACCAAAAATGTCTCCAGACATTTCCGAGAGTTCTTGGCAAGCAAAAACCACCCAACCACTGCTTCCTTCCCTACTGACCCCAAGGAGAGAAAGGTTCCTCTCTTTCACATTCCCACTGTCTTGTGCCTCTTCACTGCAATAGGAAAGACTTGAATGCGAACCTCCCGTTCCATATGTTCCAGGCTCTTTCCACCCCATGCAGTTGTTCAGCAGGTGTGTCGTTAGCATCCCCCAGGTCAGGTGCATAGGCACTGTGGTGCAAAGACCCTTCCCTCGTGGAGCTCATAGCCCCATGGGAGGAGCTTGTGACCTGCGGGAGGGGGTCACTGTCCACCGCAAATGTCTGCAGTTTCTCTCCAATGCGTCTGGGGAGCAGTAGCTTCTGTGGCTCAGACAGCCATCGGCACTGCTCATAGTGAGCACCCGCCCTGTGCCTTCAGTCTGAGCATCCGTCCTGAAAGATGGTCATCTCGATTCCCCATCTTACAGGTGAGGAAGTTCAAGCACAGAGTCACAGTTCTGCCATCACTAAGGTGAGGTTCCGTGAAGACAGTCTGGCTCCAGAGTCCAAGCCGTGAGTCACAATTCAGGGTGGCCTCTCACTGTGCAGATCACATATAGAATAAGCAGCCACCTTGGTCCCTGAGGGTACCACCTGGTGGTGAACCCAGGCATCTGGCATGCAAGGCTGGGCCCATTAACGTGACCACAGGCTCTCACCTTACTTCTCCCCTGGTGGCACAGGAGCAGCAAAGCACAGCCAGCCTTCAGGCCAGGCCAAGGGCCAGTGAGATAAACAGTCACTATGTATTTCAAGTTTACTGACTCCATTGCCCAGGTCGCCTCCGTGGAGAGCCTGAGAGGACCTGACACGATGATAGGGGTCCTGTGCTGGAGCCCTGGAGCCACAAGAATCTGAAGCTGAGCAGGTCTGAGGGGTGTGATTCATCACGGGCGTGGACACTGGATGGACAGGGTCAGGTTCTGCTCTTGCTGCTATGCTGGGAACTTGATGAGGTCCTGGGCTGCTCGGGGCCCCACCTGCTTCAACTGACAGGCCAGATAGCAGTGGCTTCTTGACTGTACCAAGACCTGTGCTGTTTGCAAAATGTTTTCACATCCATTTTACCTCTTCAACAACCCCACTGGCATTTTGCACACTAACCTGTAAAATAAGGAAAGCTCTTCCTCCAAGCTCTATTACTAAGAAGTAGCAAACTGAAAATCCAGTCTTCTGAAATCAAAGCCAGAGCATGTAATTTCTGGCCAGTCACAGAGCTAAATATCGCAGCCCAACCCTTGACTGCATCAGAGAAGATAAACAGGGAAGGCCGCCTTCTGTGTGCTGGCTCCTGGGAGTCACCTGCAGCGGGCGTCTCGTTCTGTTCTCATCACAGTTCTGTCAGCAAGTGTTTAATGCCCATTTCCCAGGCATTGAGACTGATGAAAACATAATTGTGATTCAAATGGTGCCTCACCCAGCAAGTGAGGGAAGAGCAAGGCCAGGATGACAAGTGCAAAGGCCAAGCTTCCTAGGACCCCAGTGACAAAGAGCAGGCTGCAGGCCTTTCCATCTGCAGGGAAAGGGCCAGAGACCATCAGCCCAGTGACCCGAAACAGCAGGGGGAATTGCAGGCAGAGATGAAGGCAGCCCCAAAAGGCTACTTAGACTGCAGATTCTTAATAGTTCCGGGAACACTGAAAATCAAGAAATTGCACCAGAATCGGGGCCCCATGACAACTTCACTCAGGTTTCCATCAGCAGAAATCGCAGCCTGGTGTAGAGAGCGGCTGATCCGGGTGTACTGATCTCAGCCAATGAAAGACAAACAGAGGGGATGGAAAGGACCTGAAAATGCTCGCCGTCATTTTTTTTTTTTTTTGAGTGTCTGGAAAAGCTGTTCTAAGCCATGCATTGCGCGCCGTGTTCTGCATTTGTTCCCATTTGCTCCACGATGAATCCTCACCACCACCCTGATGGGAAAGTGTGTGTTGAATCCAGGGAGAGTGTGCCCTGTGCCTGAGGTCACTGTGAAGGGATGTGGAGTTGGGATTCCATGCGGCTCTAGGCATTTCGAGCCCGTATTTTTCTCATTATACAGCATCATTCTTATTTTCACATTTAATTATTTTACAAACATAGAAGCTTTCATTCAGGTATCCAAGTGAAGGAAACTAGTGAGACAGCTAGGAATGAGTGTGAAATATGGACATAAACAACCACATTCTGAAATAGGGGCTTAGGGGCAATGGTCACCTCTCACTTCTCCGGTGAGCCCTTAACATTGATTTCCACAGCTTAACCTAGTGGTTTTTGTGTACCCAAGCGTCTTGTGAAAAACCTGTATTTGTCTGACTGAGACCCCTCTGTTGTAAGGTGAACTGTGTCCCCGAAGAGGGTGTGTGGAAGTCCTAAGACTGCAACTTTATTTGGAAATCATCTTTGTGGGAATAACCAAGTTACTATGAGGGCAGAGTGGATTAGCCTGGGCCCTAGATCCAGTGACACACCAGAGAGAAGCCCATGTGAAGATAGGGCAAGAGCAGAGCAACCCAAGTGACACAGAGATTACTGGCCACCACCAAGAAGTGGAAGGAGGAGGAAGAATTTCTCTCAGACCCCTCAGACCCAGCACGACCCTGCCAACACCTTGACTTCAGACTTCTGGCTCCAGAACTGTTAGACTATCGTTGTGTAAATTAATCCTAGTTGTCAACTCTGCTGGATTAAGAAACCCCTGGAGACGTGAGTGGACTGTGAGGGTGCTAGCAGCACATGCCAGTGGATTAATCCACTTGTTTACAGCTGAATGTGGCACCCGAAGGTGGGGCCCAGTTGGAGACAGTGGGTCCCTAAAGCTACCTTTGGAGGCCGTATCTCTCGCTCATGTCCTTCCTCTGCTTTGCAGCTGCCATGAACCAAGCAGCTCTGCCCCACCACTCCCTTCCGCCATAATGTTTCTGCCTTGAAGCCAGCTGACCATGGACTGAACCTTCTGAAATCATGAACTAAATTAAACCACTTCTCCTTTA